CATGACTTACAGGAAAGTTCAGTAAATAAAAAAGAAAATACGTGAGAAAGGCTGTTTCAGTTTAAACCTGTGTCAAGCTCCTAGACCTAAAATGACACTTGAAATTTTCCTCCATTAGAAATTCATTGTGCTACAAATTTTCTCTCATTCTGTTACATATATTTATATAATGAAGTAGAGAAATTATTCTCTCATAAGCTAATGCTGCAAAATATTTTTATAGATATGTATATGTACATACATATATTTTAAATATTAACATATATAATAGTTTATAATATTTAAATGTTTAAGTGTTTTATATATTTATACATTTATCACCATATATAGACACACACACATATGTATACACACACATACACATATACATACATATAAATGCCTGGGGATAGAAAGAATCTTGGATGTAGCCTGACTGCTCTGCACCCAACTGGGGAGGAGTGAGGGGAGAAGAAAGTTGAGTTCCAGCCAGAAAGGTGACAGAAGACTGCCCAAAGCTTCATGTAATCAATCCCTCAAGCCTGTAGAAAAGTTACTAAACGTTTGGTGCCAGTGCCTTCCTCCAGAGTCAGTGATGTTTATGCTCGGTACTGAATCAGAGACAGCACCTACAGCACCTTCTGCCATAGTCACACATCTGCAAAGGACAGAAAAATCCAACCTGATAGCTTTGTTCTACATATTTGTTGGTGTTTACACCCAGGATTGTCGCCTGCAGCTCTTGATCTTTTATTCTGAAAAGTTGTGGTAGTAGTAAAGGCTACTCTATAACATACTTGTTTTAATAAATGTATTCTCAATTTTTTAATGCAAAACTGGCACGACCAAGAGAGGTGCCAATTTTGACTCATGTTTTTACTTCACCTCTTCATATACCACTTCATTGAGTGTCCTCAATCAGGTTCTCATTCAGGTTCTCAATAGAGGCAAATTTTGCCCCCGCCCCCGCAACCCCTGCCAGGAGATACCGTTATGGGGTGGGTGGTACTAGCCTCTAGCGGGTAGAGGCCAGAGATGCTGCAAAACATTCTTCAACGCACAGGACAGTGCCCATGAATAAAATACTTTGTGAATAAGGATACGTTATTTGCCATTCAGAACAAAGAATTATCTGGCCCAAGTTTCCACAGAGCCAAGGCTGAGAAACCCTGACCTAGAGATATTCATGCCCCAATATGAGAAATGTGTGTATACATTAAAAGAAAGTGTAAAGGAATAAAGGAACAAAGTGGAAAGAAAAAAATGGAGCCAGGAAAGAAACTAAAACATACATATTGCAAAACATGTGTCTTTGATAAAGATGAACTACAGATTTATCTGTAGCTCCTGGCATCCAGGTAAAAAGATAAACCAGATAATTGAATCGTGAGCTAACTGAGGGCTGAGTGGCCACCGTGAGAAGTACTGAACTCCTAGAGGAGAGACCGTAGACACAGGTTGTCATCACAACAGTCTATTCCCTGGACTGAGATGCCATACATAGGGAGCACTTTGGAAAGGGAGGAAAATGATTGATCCTTGAATAAGAACTACTGGGTCAGAGGAGAGAGATGGATATTAGCATGAAAAGATAGAACAGTCAATTGATTAGGGATGCTGGGTTTTCAGCCTTGATCGCTCCAGATTCCCTTTCCAGCCTCCTCCACACTGCTCTGTACCCTAGGAGGCAGGCCTCTTAGGATGGTATTCATGGATTCCCCCATGCTCCCTCACTTCTGGTTGATACGGATAATGGCAGATGTCTACAGGAACTCAGCCGTCTACCTGCCAGGCCATGGGTTGGCTATGGCTATATTCCTCTACCAAAGTCTCCAGCTCCTGCCAGGCCCCCCTCACCTACAGCTAAAGTCAAAGCAACATCACTCTAAGGGTGGTGACATTTCCCTACTTTGGTTAGCTCTAGAGTGCATCACCCCTTTGGTGGGTTCCCTGCCCTCATCCTTGTAAATGGTTCCATCTGTTTCCTGTCAGTTCCCTGACTGATTCACCAGATTAAGACTTGAGGGTAAGGAGAGTGACTATATTAACACATCAAAGGAAACAATGTGAATGTAGTAAAGAGCAGTTAACTCCTAAAGCCAGTAAAGGGAAAGCTAGAGGTACAAATAGGAGCATCATATCCCTTGCCCTGCCTGGGACACAGTATTTTACTCCTGGGCCCTGTTAACCTGCAGGACAGGAGAAGGATGGAAGCACAGGCTACCATGGTTTGGTTCTACTAGATTAGCTACCAAGGTCTTCCAACTTGGATTTCTCTTTGATTTCTAATAATTATTTGCCTGTACATGTACATTTACCTACTGGAAGAGATGGGTTGGTTAGTAAGCATCAGTATTTGAAACGCTTGTTAGCTATATCCTCATTGTAAATTAATAAAGTATCTTTCCAGTGTTTCCCCTGCCTCTGCAGCTTCAGGTGAACGTGCATCCTAAAGCTGGTATCACCACTAATGTGTCTATAGTTCAGGTTTCTGCATCAGCAAGTTCAAAATAATGGTGAGATGACAATCCTGCAGTGACCTGGTTCAGGTGTTTTCCTACTTCATGGAAACACCCTCTTTATTCATCACAGTAGCTTCAGGACTGACCTTTAGATCAGGGATGCTTTATTTTCCATACACTTACCTTGCCTTAAATCCCTCTGTGACAGACACTGCTTTGCCTACCCAGTATCCCTTCCTTTCTAACATAATCCTGAATAAATGTGCAATGTACCAACTTAAAACATGCCTTTCCAGATTGCCTTAGCTATGTGACCTAGTCCTTCTCAACTACATACAAGCAAATATGGACTCAATACAATTTCCAGGAAAGTTTTTACTTTCCTGATAACAAAAGACTAAATCAGCTGTGCTTATGCCCTCTGCCCACCTTCCCTTGAATGACTGGAGGAGGAGCTCTTTTCTCTCAATCATGAGGGTGAAAACTACAGGCTAATGATAGCAGAGCAGGAAGCTAGGAAGAAGCTCAGGTGCTTGATGACTTTCTTGAGCAGCTGATTAGCCCTGGTTACTGAGTTTACTCTTCTTTTAAAAGCAGAGAAAGAAAACCCTATTCAGATAAGCTTCTAGAGTTGAGTTTCTATAACATGAAGCCAAATGCAGTCTTAACTGATACCCCTTCTTAATCTCAAGTCCCTCATGTCATTCTGTATAAACATACATACATGCTAAGAACCTGAAGTCATGCATCCTCTGTTGTATGGGAGTCAGTAGGTTGTTATAAAAATATTCAGTGCAATAAATGGAATGTTTATGTCTCACCAAAATTCTTATGTTGAAATCCTAACCCCCATTGTAATGTTATTATGGGGTCAGGCCTTTGGAAGGTGATTAGTTCTTGAGAATGGAACCCTCATAAATGGAATTAGTGCCCTTGTAAAAGGAACCCCATAAAGCTCCCTCCCCCATCCCACCATGTGAAAACACAGCAAGAAGGTGACATCTGCAACCCAAAAGAGAGCCTTCAGCAGAACCTGACCAAGCTGAACCGTGATCTTGGACTTCCAGCCTCCAGAACTGTAAGAAATGAGTGCTTGTTGTACAAGCCACTATGGTATTCTGTTAAAGCAGCACAAATTGACCCAGACACTCAACCTACACCTATGATCCTGGAAAATGGCAAATGAATAGCACTGAATGACAGTATAATGGTGTTGACAGGCCGGGCACGGTGGCTCACGCCTGTAATCCCAGCACTTTGGGAGGCCAAGGTGGGCGGATCACGAGGTCAGGAGATCGAAACCATCCTGGCTAACATGGTGAAACCCTGTATCAACTAAAAATATAAAAAATTAGCCAGGCGCAGTGACAGGTGCCTGTAGTCCCAACTACTCGGGAGGCTGGGGTAGGAGAAGGGCGTGAACCCGGGAGGCGGAGCTTGCAGTGAGCCGAGATAGCGCCACTGCACTCCAGCCTGGGTGACAGAGCGAGACTTCCATCTCAAAAAAAAAAAAAAAAAAAATAGTGTTGACAGAAATAAAAGAACAAAAGATGTATGTTATTATGAAATTATGAAGAATATTATTGACTTCAGTATTGCTACCTCCCCTTGGATATAATAAGGTCACATATAAGAAAACACAGATATAGATAAGCCAGTAAAAACAGTCTGACAAAGTTCCAGGAAATGGCTCTTTCGAAACATGAGACAGCTGCCAAACAAAAAAAAAAAAAAGGAAATTAAAATCCTTCAAAACAATTTCATGGATTTAAGCTCTGCAAAAACATTGGGGGAGCATGTGAAATTACATGGAATTATTCTGATACTCAGCCTCTTATTGTGCACTTTATGAAAGAATAATCAATAAAACATCTGTCATAATTACATAAAATTTAAAAAGCAGATCCACTTAACGTGGCCAAAATAAACTAAATGTATTTTAAATCCATGTCTCTGAACTGAAGCTACAGGAGTGAGGAGATGTTGAATCCCATTTAATAAAAGGAAATATCTTTTTATACTAGCAATTTGAGAATTTTACCTAAGTAAAAAGAGACTCTAGAATGAATATTAAGCTTACAGTTCTAAAAGCATCAATTTAAATTGATTAGAACACTGGGAAATTACCCACTGGCTAAGTAAGATTTCCAGAAGGAATACTATTGAAAATGTTTTTTACATCCCTTAGGAAAAACAGGGAAAATAAACAGAGGGCATATCTCTAATTAACTACATGTACCCCTTGGGTTTCCAAAAACAAGCTCTAATATAATTTGATTCTTTATCCTTACCAATGGGAAGTCAAGCGTAAAACCATGTGCAAGCACCGCATGATGTGGCATAGGAAAGAAAACATTAATCATAGACATTTCTATCACTTTTTGATAGACGAAAATCCATGTTTCTATTAGCAGATACAAATAGATCAGTCTGTGCCCTTATTACTTTTCTAGTTGGTGCCCAAAATCCCTTAAAGATGGACTATTTGGGGTGAAGGTTTTGCGTATTCAGAAGCTCTCTGTTAAAATACAAATTCTTTCAGAGGGCAAACATTAAGCCACATTCAAGGACAGTCGTAATCACTCTAGTGAGAAGCAGCTCATAAAAATACTCATGGCGACTGGGATTTAAATGCATTTTGACAGGAAAGTGGAAGAAAGCATCAAGAGCAGAATCCATGCCACTGTCACAACCTGAGAGAAATTTGGTGGAGTCGAGGAGGGCGGTAGAGGACACTGAATGCTAAGTAGCAGGAGGATGACAGAGACGAATTCTGAATCATTGACAGGTGAGCATAGCTTTTGGAAACAAGTGTTACCTATTCAGTAAGATTTTTATTAAAAATCCAGCTTTAAGATATCAAAAATAAGGCCCTGAGATACTGTAAATTCATCATGATTAGTAGAAAAATAAAGAACGGAATATGTTATGAAAGTGCAAAAAGCAGGAAAGATTTAAATACATCTATCTACATTCAATATTCAAAATGTATTTTTGTGAATCCAGTATTTCATAGATTTTGTTTCATTTGATACACCAGGAATATCTCAAATGAAAGTATATAAAACAGGAATTATCTCAAATGAAGAAGTTGAGTTTTCAGGCCAAAAGCTGGCAAAGGTTGCCATGCAGTCTTCAGGATCATTCACCAAGAGCCCTTTCCTCCACCTGAAACATTCCCTGAAGATCCTGTAAATAAATACAGGTAAATAAACTTGACTGTATGAACTTCATAAGTGTCTTCTTATATCAATTTATATGCATGTTTTAAAGTTTTATATTGTACAGTGTGCAGTTATATCCTTTTTAAGTATGATGTGTAATCATTTAATAAAATGTCTATTAATTCCCTATTATGTCATATGATTTGTAGGAGGTATTTTGATCAATTTTATTTATAATGGTCAAAAGTGGCAAAATCCTGGCCTCTGTGGAGTCCTGCTGGGACAGAATATGAAGCAAGCCACGGATGGCTTAGAATAGAAACTGGAAGGAAGCTACATTGGGCTTCCTGCTATCTGAATCACCAAGTTCAGGAACTAAGTATTTACTAGTCTTGAGTACTTATTAGTTCAATTCAGACTAACAGGAAGTCATTGATGAGAAAGTAGATGGAACAGAAATCAATGTAGGCTGCTTTTGGAGGGACTTTCATCCCTCGTGGAGAGGTATTTCAGCATAATGATTACAAACATGGACTTCAGTTAGAGCCAGAGTGTTTGAAACCCACTTCTACTACTTACCCATTTGTGCCTGTTTCTTCAACCATAAATAGGGATTATGCTGGTACTTATTTGTTGCAAATATTAAATGAGTTAACATACAAAGAGCATTTAGACCAGCACATAGGCATAATCGTGTATTAGCTTTATTATTATAGAAGCCGAGAATATTTTAGACAAAAGCAAGGGTGAAGCAGAGATCAGGTCGTGCCCAAGCCTAATTTGCTGATTCTGAGAAGGGACTAGATAGCATCAAGAAACATGAAGATGGTGGCACTGAGGATTTTTTAGCTTTGAAGTTATGTAAGAGGAATACTAATCATTCCTTAATGTGGAACTATCCAAGAGATATTACCCTAATTTAAATTTCAGTTACAAACTGGTTTGATGATGGCCTTTGGAATAGAGGACGTGTGTGCGTGCGCATATTGAAATAAGCATCTTCTACGTGAAAACAAAACTGTGAAAACAGCCTCCCAGGGAGTAGGCTGGAGTTGAAGTGCACAGTGTTAGTGATCCACTGAGACCCTTTAGATCCCTTTTACCATTTTTGTGCACCTCTCTGCTCTTGCTCCCAATGGCCAGCCCTTCTTTAGAAGACTTCCCTCAGTCTAATGAAGCTGCTTCCCACGCCCATCCCTTGCACATGTTGATTCAGAAATGCTTGCAACTTTACCTCTCTCTGGATGGTGCTTAGCTGCTGCGCAGAGGAGTATGAAAGCCAAGCTCCCCTGCCTCACATTATTCTCTAAGTTCCCCTGTGAGATAAGGCCACGCCTATCTTCCGCAGGGCTTTTGTCCAATATTGCACCTTGTTTGACATCCTCTCCTTCCCTATTCTTCCTTCGTTTCCTTACTGATTTCCCTTGGGAGAAAAATAATAAATAACAAATCACTTGCACATGAATCCTTGTCTCAGGGTCTGCTTCTGGGGAACCCAGCTGCTATGATCTGAATGTTTGTATTCCCTCAAGATCCGTATGTGAAAATCCTACCCCCAAGGTGATGGTTTTAGAAAATGGGGCTTTTAGGAAGTGATTAATGCACTTAGTATACTTATAAAAGAGACCCCAGAGAGCTGGCTAACTTCGTCTATGTGAGAACACGGCAAGGCGGCACCATCCGTGAACCAGGAAGTGGGCCCTCTCTAGACACAGAATCTGCCCGTTTCTGGATCTCAGACTTCCCAGCCTCCAGAACTGTGAAAAATAAAATTCCGTTTTTATAAGCCTCCCAGTTTATGGTATTTTGTTATAGCAGCCCAAACAGACTAACACACTGACAAGACAGAAGTGAAGATACTTTTTGTCTTATTTTATAATAAGTGATTAGTAATTAAGGCACACTCTGGGGTCAGGAAATCTGAATTCAAATCTTGCCCTTAGCTGTGCTAACTTCTATGAGCCTGCTTCCTATCTTTGAATGTTTTCAGTTTAAGTAGTATTTTATTTCTTATTAATACAACCAATACAACCAAGAACTGTCTTAGATTGTGTGTTACCTAGGTAGAAGAATGAGCCAACATCTGCCAAACACTGGGCACAGAGCTAGGTTCCACTGATGTGTGATCGTCTAATCTTCACAACAACCAGAAGGAACATGTGTGCCCATCCCTGTTTCACAGCGAGGAGTTTGAGGATCAGCGAAGTAATTTATCCAATACTAAACCGAATGAGTATTTAAATGCAGCGAGGCTTACATAGAACATAGAATTATAAGAAAGAATCACAAAAAAGGTAAAAATTCCATTATATGTAACTTCATTATATAAAGATAATCTCTATGCAAATTTGCAAAGTTGACTGCAATTAAAAGTTGAGGAAGTGCAAAGATATATGAAGGATATAGGATGTCTCACTAAACGTCCTACAATTCAAGATTGCAAGGAAGAGAGAGGAAAAAAAGGGAGCAGATGAAGAATGAATTACTAAATATAGGCGGCTGGAAGGAAAATCAAAAAAGGGTGACAGGAGGTAACCCTCACTGTTAAAATAAGGTGGGAAGTCAAATGAATGAAGTCAAGGAACCATTGGAGGAATGAAGAGAAACTTCTAAGGAAAATAGTGGTGAACATAATTTTCCCAAGATAGGGACCAGGAAAAACCCTTTGCAAGTTCCAATTAGCATGATTGCCAAGGTAAACTGAACAAGAACTCAAGTGTGTTAGTCCAGGTCCTCTAACAAGCCAACACCTAGAACAGGATTAAATGTGCAAGGAATTGATTAGAAGGAATGCCTGTGTAAAAGGAAATAGTGGGTAGAGCAATAAGACTCCATCGCAAGCCTAATTTCAAGCAAAGAGAGAAGATTGCATGGAAGCATCACAGAAATACAATGCAGTCTAACGAAGGTTCAACAAAGTTAGCAGAAAGTCCTTGAGCCTAAGTGGACACTGGTAGGAGTCCCATGGCTCTATGAATACGTCTGCCTTTGTATCCCCACTACACTGCATCTCTGGCAAGGAGCAGCCCATGGGAGGTATAGCCTCAAGCCTCGGCAGATGTACCCATGCATTTCAAAACTTAGTAGTTGGTGCCATAGACCAATTACAAATGGCCTTCTACTGTGCCCTGTTATGTCTGGGAGGTGCATTCTCATGGCTTCTTTATCAAGTTTCCAAAAAGTCTTTGTTTGAAAGCTACAAGGCAACATCCCTTTTATTCTCAATGTTTCACAGAAAAATAATGCATCTAGTCACCTTTTATTGAGCACTCATGTGCAGCAATCACTGTGCTAAGCACTTTATATATTTTTTCTTTTACAGTCCTCACAGCACATGAGGAAGATATTATTCCCACTTTACAAATGAAGAGTCCAAAGCTTGAAGAGGTTAAAGAACTTCCTCAATAATGCAAAGATAGTAAGGGGTAATGCCAGGATTCAAGTCAGACACACTGACTGCTGTTGCAGATCTCCATGTTGTAACTCATAACAATAACACCAGCTATGCTATTGGGTAGGATTGTTGTGAATATTCATTGAAATCGTTCATATAAAGGCCCATCACACCTTGCCTGGCCAGGTAGTAAGAGCTCAAGGAATGTTATGATTATTCAGCAGTTGTGCCAAGATGCAGATCCAGCTCTGATTGATGCCAGTATCTGTGCTCTTGGCCACTGATGCTGAACAGCCTCAGTGTAACTTCAGTGTTTCCATCAGACAGTATTAGGAACAGCTGAAAGGCATTAAAAACGAAAGAGGAGGACTGGAACTAAACATTTTTTCAAGAATTAGTTTCAGTCACACACATAGAATTCAATGATAGGAGATAATTGAAATGTAAGGAATGACTTCCTTTGATTCCCTGAGGAAGGAAGTCACACAGGTGTGACCCATTTACTACCTCTTCATAAACAGAAATCTGTCAGATTTATAAGACTAAGTGCCAATGGGAGAAAACAGAAAAAATGTGTTTGCAGAACACATCTGGATTTCTGCTTATGACTAAGATAGGGTAACAGAAACAAGGTTTATCCTCTGATATGGTTTGGCTCTGCATCTCCGTCCAAATCTCATGTCAAATTATAATCTCCAGTGTTGGAAGAGGGGCCTGATGGGAGGTGACTGGATCATGGAGGTGGATTTCTCCCTTGCTATTCTTGTAATAGTGAGTTCTTATGAGATCTGGTTGTTAAGTGCGTAGCACCTCCCCCTTCTTTCCCTTCCTCCTGCTGTGAACATATCAAGACATGCCTGCTTCCCCTTCCCCTTCCACCATGATTGTAAGTTTCCTGAGGCCTCCCCAGCTATGCTTCCTGTACAGCCTGTGGAACTGTGAGCTAATTAAACTTTTCTTTATAAATTACTCAGTTTTATATATTTATTTATAGCAGTGCAAGAACTAATACACCCTCCCACTAGAAACAACTAAAAAATCAGAAAAAAAAGAAAATGAAACAATGGTTTTTCGATTGGATTCTAGCAACACAGGACAGTGTTCCCTGAGAGTGGGAAAACAAATAAAATGAGTCCTATGGGTGCCCCAGATTACTGCCTGAAGAGAGGAAACCCAAGTGGAGCCTCATGGTCAACCAGAGTTAAGAAACTGGAGTTGGTCATCTGGAAAAACCAAGGCAGCCGGAATTTGCAGAGAAGAATGCTGAAGAAAGGGAGCTTCAATAGAGAACTCCAGTGATCTGCAGACAGTCCCCCTCATGTCTCCAGCTTAATAATGTTCACTGCATGCTTGTGAGGCAAAGGTTGATGGATAGGCAAAGAACCACCTAAAAGGAACAAAGGAAGGAAATACTGGAGCTCAAACAAGACAGGGAATAGTTCAGGTGTCTTCCAGCCACAGTGGAAAACCTCATTCATGAAGCATTGGATAGAGTACTCAGAAGAGTATTGTTTCAGTAATGGGGCAAAATTAGCCCTAAACTAAATGCTGCTCTCCTCCCAAATCACAAAAGCTTAAAAGTTTGAAAGGCTCAAACTATTTTCATAACCGCATCCCAGTAAAACTCAAATATTTACAGGAATACAAAAATATCAATAACCCCAACAAGATAAAA